ACAGGGGTTGCAATCCTAGTCTCTGATAAAATAGACTTTAAACCTACAAAGATCAAAAAAGACAAAGAAGGGCATTACATAATGGTAAAGGGATCATGCAACAAGAGCTAACTATTCTAAATATATATGCACCCAATACAGAAATACCCAGATTCATAAAGCAAGTTCTTAGAGACCTATGAAGAGACTTAGACTATCACACAATAACAGCGGGAGACTTTAAAATCCCACTGTCAATATTAGACAGATCAACGAGACAGAAAATTAAGAAGGATATTCAGGACTTGAACTCAACTCTGGACAAAGTGGACCTAATGGACAGCTACGGTACTCTCCACCCCAAATCAACAGAATACACATTCTTCTCAGCACCACATCGCACTTATTCTAAAGTTGACCACATAACTGGAAGTAAAACACTCCTCAGCAAATGCAAAAGAATGGAAATCATAACAAGCAGTCTTTCAGACCACAGTGCAATCAAATTAGAACTCAAGATTAAGAAACTCACTCAAAATCACACAACTACATGGAAACTGAACAACCTGCTCCTGATTGACTACTGATAACGAAATTAAGCCAGAAATAAATAAGTTACTTGAAACCAATGAGAACAAAGACACAATGTGCCAGAAGCTCTGGGACACAGCTACAGCAGTGTTTAGAGGGAAATTTACAGCACCAGATGCCCACAGGAGAAAGTGGGAAAGATCTAAAATCGACAACGTAACATCACAATTAAAAGAACTAGAGAAGCAAGAGCAAACACATTCAAAAGCTAACAGAAGACAAGAAACAACTAGGATCAGAGCAGAACTGAAGGAGATAAAGACACGAAAAACCCTTCAAAATATAAAAATTAGCTGGGTGTGGTGGCATGTGCCTGTCGACCCAGCTACTCAGGATGCTGAGGCAGGAGAATGGTTTGAACCAGGGAGGCGGAGGTTGCAGTGAGCTGAGATCATACCACTGCACTCCAGACTTGCGACAAAGCAAGACTCCATGGCAAAAAAAAAAAAAAAAAAGAAAAAAAAATTAATGAATCCAGGAGCCGGTTTTTTGAAAAGGTTAACAAAATAGACTGCTAGCCAGACTAATAAAAAAGAAAAGAGAGAAGAATCAAATAGACACAATAAAAAACGATAAAGCGGATATCACCTCTGATCCCACAGAAATACAAACTACCATCAGAAAACACTATAAACACCTCTGTGCAAATAGACTAGAAAATCTAGAAGAAATGGATAAATTGCTGGACACATACACTCTCCCAAGACTAACCCAGGAAGAAGTTGAATCCCCGAATAGGGATTTAAAGATAAATCTGTAACTTTAAATTCATGTATTAAAAGAGAAAGGCTGAAAAATCTTAAGCTGTTACCTTAAGGATTGTGAACCTCGAAAATTTCAGGCAGGTCTCAGTGAATTTAGAAAGTTCATTTCGAGGGCGGAGTTCAAAAGTCTCGGACCCGAGGCCGCCACTGCGCGCAGCCTCCTGCCCGCCATGGCCGCGCCTCGAAC